TAATATAAAAAAATTATAAAGATTGGTTAAAATTTGAATGATTTTTATTAGAAGCAATTATTGATTTTTATATTGAGATACAAATTTTTTTGCACTGACCCATTATATAGTTAATAAATTTGAGATAGATTTTGACATTCTATCTATTTTAAAAATAAATAATTAAAGATAATAAGAAGTATTTTTTAATAAGATTAAAAGCTTTTGTATGTAGGAAAATTTCGTATTTTACTATAGTCCGGTAATTTTAAAATATGTGATCCGTTTTTGGGCTATCTTTGGGCTATTAATCAAAGGCATTTTATTGAATTATTAAAAATGCTTATTTTAATATGAAAAAGATATGACTTTTTTTAGATAAAAAAATCTGTTCGTAATTTGACCTATTACAATGAATTCTTAAAATAAGAAGGTTATACGAATGGCTGTAAACGATTGATTTTTTGAATTATAAGTTATACTGTTCTATGTTTAATCATGTTTAAATAATATCGACATTTATCGTCATGTTAAAAATGATATCACCGCCGTTTAAACTACAGTATAATAGGTTACCCTCCTTTACACGGCTTTAAACTTGGAACATGAGGGGATAACTTGTCTTGGGAGTTAATTTTATATAGATTAAATATATATTTCACATACAGGTGCATGGTATTAGTTTATTTTCAGAGATAAATTGTAACCTTCCCATGTTAAATATTCTTCTCGATCTTTTTCAGGGGATTTTTGTATTATAACCGGAATATTTTACATTATGGGAGATATATTACATGTACCACATGTACATGTACTATGAGCTGAATAAATTGATTCTGGAAAATTCTAGTTTCTGTTCTTTATCAGTCATATATATATCTACACTCAGAGACACAAAATATCCAACTTAAAGAGTTCGTGACTAAATAGAGATCAAATTACTGCTTTGCTGTATATGAGAATATGAGAATGATTGGATGAAGTTCTTAATTGTGTTCATTGAGGATGGACTAATATTGATTCTTTTTCATTGTATCGCTAATGAACGTTGCTTGAATAAAGTATTGCATGTATATTCCATTGCATTTGTGTGCTGTTAAATAACCGGTTCATTCAATTTATGCTTAAATGAAGATTATAATGACATGTAATATGTATTAAAGAACTATAAAAATTAGAAAACTTTTAAAAAAGTACACATGTATGACGTATACAGTTAGCGTGACAAACCTCGCAGCAAAACACGAGTCTAACTAGACTGCTCAAATGAATCTCCATTTGGAAAGTTTTAAGGATCGACTTGCGACAAAGATATGAAAAATCATCTCAAATGACGCGCGCGATTATTAATTTACTCAAAAAGGGTTTATAATGATACGATCTTACATTTAATATGAACAAATGGTCAATAAATGTATTAGAATTAATTGATGAGTTAAATATGAAGCAGAAAGATAAAAATTCAAGACTTGAGTTTTTGTTTTTACAAAGTTAAAAATATATACGTAGAACGTATAACAGATTTCTACTCTACGCATCGGGATCACTACACATACGTTAGAAAACTCAATCTATACCGTGAACATATTTGTTCAGAGTGAACCAGTTGCGTAAAGAGCCTGTCGCGTCATCTTGTTTAACCAGTATATAATTTATTCGCGATAACTTATTTATAATCAAAGAAGAAAGCAAAAAAAAAACAAAAAATGAAATCCATACGGATGTCGTTTACTGAAGACATTATTAAAGTTAAAGAAGATTACTTTATGGCGGTTGAAGGTCACGTAAGTAATCCGTAGATGTATAACCTTTTTTTAAAGTTGTTCAATATCTTAGATAATAATATGCAAAATGAAAAAAATTAGATGTCACAAGAAACATTCAAGTGTAGAATAAAATCACTCAACGAAATAATCAAACGAACGAATAGCCCACAGTTAATGCAATTCTTTTGCCTTTCAATAACATTCAATATCATAATCTTTCCGATAATATTCGTGGCCATGTTTTTTTTTACGGCGAAAGATCAACAGGATCCGTTAATGAACATTATGCTTGGGGCTTTGGGTAATTGTTTATTTCTGTTTATGTTGCGAAGCTTGGTTGGAAGAAGATATCTACGTCTGGTAAGATAAAGCATATTTTTATTTTCGTTCTTATCAAGGTCCTTCTTCTAGCATTTTTTCAGATTTGATTTCTTTCATAATAATATACTGTTATTAGCAAAAGAAAAATATTAGACGACAATTAATGGAATTCAATCGTATCGATAATTCGAATTACGTGAATTGGAAAGCAATTTATGAGACAAGCGAAAAGGTATGACGACGTTTATCCACCATTTCTTGTACATGCAGTAATAAATTTTGCTAAAAATATGTGTATATGTTCTTTATAAATTCTAAAGACATTGATATTAGAATTAATTTCACCAGAAGAATCAACACTAATACAATGTTCGGAGAGGATACATAATGACGATATTATTAATGACTATTCTTCACGTAATAGTTCTATCACCATAATTCCACCATCGCCGATACCTCCTCCTCATGATGTTGTAGTTAATATTCCACCGCCTGCTTAGACTTGATATGGATTTACGTATACAATAATATCTCTTGTTAGACACAAAAGAACAATTTTATTATTTAAATATTTTTGAATTTAATTTACTATAAACCGTTATTATTTTTTACATAAAGAAACAATTTAACATTTATTTAAGAAATAATATCTTTGATATCGCCCAACCTTGGAAACGGTAATTAAGCAACTCTGGGCATCTACAGTTTGGCGGAAAGTAATGATCTCAGAGAATATTTATTTCTCAGAAATCTTTCTTATGATCAGTTGAACAATATTACTTAATACTCTAATACTTGTTCCCAAGATAATTTTCGAGATATTAAATATTATTTACAAATGTTTGAAATTGGTGTTTTACAAAAAAAAATGCTCAATATTTCAAAAAATATATTAAATAATCTGTCTTTAGTCATTAATATTCAGTTGATATAATTGTAGTCAATTCAAAGAAATATTTTATCATCTTAAGATATAAAATAAATGCATAAAAAAATTTACTTTCAAAGTAAAATTATTGAAAAAAAAAAATGAATAAAATTGGGTTAAATATTAGTATTTCTAAAATGTAAAAGCTTTAAATATGCATATTACAAAAATAAAAATTTTAAATGACTTAAAAAAATTAAAAATTGAACCGTCATTACTTTCCGTCAGAACTGTAAATACAGTATTTGCATAAATTATTGTGTGTGAGCAAAGGTTTGAAACTTTTACTATTACACAATTCTCTTACACATCCCTAGAATAAATTAATTTTTCTCTCATTCCAACAATGTCGATGAGGCAATCTTATATAATAACTCCTGCGCTAGCACGGATTCTAACCTTTTTTTATTACGGTAGAATTTTTCATACGCTTCAATCATGACTATGAAAAATAACCATATGGTTTCCCCCTCAGCGTTAGGTTTCCCCATATTTCACTATTTAGAATGAACTTATTCTGGTTAATGCATTGATTATCGACAGCGCATAGATAGCACATGTACTTCTAAATAAAGTTCTGTGTTTACACGAGTTAACGTTATGTTAATGTTATCACGAATTGCAACTTTTGATAATAAAATAAAAAAATGCGGGGCTTGTGAATATCGTTTCCAACGACATTATCAATACCGCCGGGAAATTGAATACTAAATAGGTAAAAAAAACCGTCAATTTATATAATCATACGAAACCACTAGATCACTCTAGATTTATTCAAGAGAAGACTTCAGAATTCAACGAAACAATCAAACGAACGAACAAACGATTCACAACGATTACGATTTAATTTCGACGATGCTTCTAACATGCTTTACTTTAAAATACAAACGCCTTTCTCGTAATTATTGAATGTGGCTGTTTATGGTGCAATTTCGAAGATATTCAAACGATGGTAAAATGAATTTATTATCAATAAATTCTAATTATGATATTTATGTGATTTCTATTAATTAATCTTTCTTTCATAATAGCAAACTAAAGATATTTTCGAAAAACTAAAAGAATTTAATCGTATGTTCATAGAAATTGATGTGTAGAAATAAAGACAAAGAAGCCGAAATTTCGTGACCTTATTAATGCTCACGAAAAGGCACGCATAAAAATCAAAAAAAAACTTTACTACTAATACAAATTTTTCTTTTGAATTCAAGGATAATATTAGATATATTAACTCCGAGTCAACTATATGATAACATTAATTATTTAAACTTTGAGAGTAACACATAAGCGCATCTACTTCATTTACTTCTAATATTTTTTGGGTCAATTTTTTTAAATCAAATTATTTTATGCATCTTATCACAAGAAACTACTAGTACTGGTGAGATTTATTTGTCTTCTGTACGTTATTATCATTTATGCGTAGTTTTTTGGGAATGCATGCGATAAATCTTAAATCTAGCCTAACAATAACTAGTCATGTGATGACACGAAAAACTTTATCTGAATAAGAGTCAACCGAACTAACTTCCTCCTCTGATGAGCTTTCGTCTGTTGCGGCGTCTGCTGCTTCTTTTGTTGCGAACTTGTTTACATATATTAAATTAATTAAATTATCATTAACGTTAGGAATTCAATCGTTAACTTTCATATGCGAATTCAGCAATCATAGTTTTTTTGAATTCACACGTGTATTGAACGGAACCTCCAGCTTTTTTTGGACAACCGAAATTATCATAAATAACAGGCCACTAATTTTCATCAATAACCATTTTAATGCTCATAGTCTTTTTGATGATTTTTAAATCCATTTATCTAAAGAGTGTCAATCTTTTTTGAAAGATTTGTTGGTTAATTTTCTTTTTATTCGCTTCTTCAAATAAACGCTAATGAAAACGTCAGATATTTGCTTTATGCACTGATTATCGCTGTTCTTCCGACTTCACTTCACAAAATCATTCTTATTAATTATAGTTAACTTTCTCTATTAAAGAATTATTCTTAAAATTGTGGATGATTTGTGAGTGAAGACGGCAATAGTGAATCAATTGTAAAACGAGTTCCAAACTCTTTGAAATATCTTTATCATCCCATCATCATCGTCATCATCATCATCATCATCATCATCATCATCATCATCATCGCCATCAAACATCACCACCAAAGTTATTTGAAATAACTGGGAAAAAGATTCGAGTTTGGAATAATTTATAAGAAATTAATGCAAATATGCAAAAAGTAAAATCATTATACATGCCTTTTAATGACATCTCCAAAAGTCAATATTTCACCGAACTAGTAGGCTACGTAAGTATAAAATGATAAGAAGTCGACCAGTTTTAAAACAGCTTATTAAGAGATTTAACCTGAAAAGTAATTTTTTATCAGATGTCGCCTGAAGTGTTTAAGACCCGGATTCAAAGAATCAGCGAAATCAAAATAAAAACGCGTGTTCCACACATATTTTCTTTTACGCCATTCTTACTACTGGTGACAATTATTAGCAGTCCGATAATTGTCTCAGTGATCGTGTCTACGTTAAGATCTAATTCACAAGGGAACGATTCAAATTCGTTATCACCTTCAAAATCGTTTTCAGCCTATTTGTATGCATTCTTGGCACTTTTTGCATGTTATACTGTGGGATTTGTACTCTGGATCATATGTATAAAGAGTTTCGAAGCAAAGGTATACTGATCTTTATATGCAAAAAAGATGAATTCGGATTTATGGACTATTCGATTAATCAATTTAAACACATAGCAAAATAATGCCATTGATAAGCAGCTCAAAGAATTCAATCTTATCGATAATCCGAATCAACTAAACTGGCGAATAGAGATCAAGTTCAAAACGGATGCAGACGAAACTTCTTTGTTGATGCACGAAAAGGTACCTATCATAGCAAGCCAAACTTTCTTAATGATCTTTGACTAACTCACTCAGTTTTCATCGAAAAATGAATTATAAAGAAATTGGTATTGGACATCATGACATCCTATTCGACCATAATACGATTCCCAGAAGCAGCAGTTATCGATATCAATGAAATCTATAATTTCGGCTTAGCACGAACCATGACACGGAATTCTGTGTTTTCGAATCTACCACCTTCGTACGATGTCGCTTCTAAAGATCCGCCGCCTCGATTATCATGGAATTCGTGATTCTAAAGTGAATGCGTCTAAATTTGTTATATTGTTGTTTAATTTAGTTTTACCAATTGTTCATGATGTTCTTGCAAACCGGGCTATTAAAAATAAATCCAGTACAATCTAGTTAATTTGTTCAATTCGTTCAGTATTTATTAAGCCTATGTCCAGTAACCTCTTCACTGGAACAGTCCACTAGTGATCATAATACGTATTATTTAATGAATGTAAGAATAAAATGCATCGAATACCAGAGCCGTCGGATAATAACAATAAGAAACAAAGCCAAAATAAACTTTAGCTTGCGATTATGATATATACGAAGCGCGGTAAGGAAAATACAATTTATTCTACAATTGGCTATTCTTAAGGAGAGTTTTGTTTTTATTCAATTTAAAAACCGAGTGTAAAATAAAGATATGAGTTAACCATAACAGTTAATTTGCAAGCTAATCCTCGTTAATTTAACCCCGCCTATATGAAATGAGCGAATAAAAAACATCCTCTGCTGATGATCATGTCACGTGGTATTAATTAACGTGAATTGTTCAGCGAACAAAAAGTCACCGGGACAACTTAACTTATTTAATAATTATGATGATTAAAATTTAATATTTCGTAGGACCACCATTATTTTTAATACACTATGGATACGTCGTGGCATACTCGCAATTAATTATCGAAATGTTTCCCCATATTCCTCTTAATATTTGATAAAGCAAATTTGTTGGTCAAAGAACTCGATTTCGAACGCATCGTTCTAACTCATCCCACAAATGCTTAATTAGAATAAGATCTGGGAATTGTGCAGGAAAATCTGAAAGAAATTTGATTCTTTTCTGAGAAAATCAGGTCTTTACATTGCCAGCTTTATGTATTATATTATTTCTGTTATGTTTAATAGCCAGTACAAGATTCTTAATCTCTCAATTCAAATTTTAATAAATCTTTATAATTTTTTTATATTAAATAAAAAATAATCTAAATTAACTTTTTATACTATTTTAACTATTTTATTATA